GTCGCTTTCTTTACCTTTCTCATCCTTTATCACCTGCCATCCAAAGCACTTACGCTTCAAGAACTGCTTCAGTCTTCCTCTTTGTCCCCTCTAGCACATCCCAATTCACTCATTGCAACACGTACTCTCTCCCTAATCAAAAGAACCCTCTACAATAATATATCTATAAATGTTGGCAAAATAAAATTTTTAATTTGAAAAAATAATATCTTTATTCATTAATTTTTAAAATTTTTATTTTAAATATTAATAAGATTTATCTAATTTGTAAATAAGAATTTCTAATTGCATTAAATGAGTTTCATTAAAATTAAGATAAAATATTCTCACTTTTTAACTTTTCAATATAATTTTACACAAGTTTATTAGTATTAGAAATGTGCAATCAGTTCCAAAAGTGTAAATATTGTTAAAAAAAATATAAAAAAGATTAAAATATCCTTTTTTTCTTTATTGGTTTTAAAAATTACTTATATAAAAACAATCAGTGTTTTTTTCTATTTTTTTAAAATTATATAATAATAATTTTTAAAATTAATAAAAAATTAAATTATTTTTTTAATATTATCAAGTTTTCAAATTAACGGTTGATTGATGGATAGATTTATGTGTTCAGCGAAAGTTATTTTTATGGGCAAATTATCTATTTTGAAAACTAACGAATTCATTTAAAATTTCAATTAAAGCTTAGAAATAGACATTTTATCATTAAAATTATTTTTTAAAATTTTAATAATATTAAATAATTTATAATTTAATATTACAAATTATTAATATTTCAATTTTCATAATTTAGAAACATTTGTATTTACTAGTATATTTGTTGTCATGCTCTTGTACGCCAATGTTTGTTTGTTTATTTATTTTGAATAATAATTATATATAAATTCAAATAGTTCTAAATGTAAAGTCAAATGTTTTGTTTCATTAAATTATGTTTTTTGATTTAAACTTACTATTTATTTACTTTACACTAAACAAATTTTTATTTTTATTTTTTATTTTTGTTTCTGGAACTTAAAATAGCAGTATTATTAAAAAAAAAAAGAAAAAAACGCCTTAACTGAAAGCTTCTAGCCCTGTACGTTCTGCAGAGAAAGAAAAGGAAAAAATGTACCAGACGAAGAAGCTATGGACTCCTCTTTCCACCATTGCACGCAGGGCTCTTCCAACGACATGTCATTTAACTCCTTACTCTCCAAATTCACAAATTCGATCCTCATCCTCTCCCCTGGAAACTTCTTCCAGGGTTTCTCTTCCCCTACACTACGGCCTCGGAAATTTAAAATTTTCCGCGAAAGGTTTCTGCTCGCAATCCGCCGCGAAAGTCGATGCTACAACGAAAAGGTGCTGGAACTGTGACGCCGTCGCCGCTGGAATGGTGCCGTTCTTGTACTGCGATTCCTGCCGGAGCATTCAGCCCGTTGATTTCTCCGTCGATTACTTCCAGATTTTTGGACTGTGAGTTTTCTTCCGCTAATTTCAATTTATTTTAAAAAACTTCTTCCTAGCATGTTTTTATTCCGTGTGTCGATATTTAACAGGGAAAAGAAGTATGAAATTGAAGTTGCTGGTTTGGAAGGGAAGTATAAAGATTGGCAGAAAAAATTGCATCCTGACCTTGTTCATTCAAAATCCGAGGTTTGTTTCAAGTTTGCCTTAATACCAAATAAACAAGTAAATGACTCAGATAGTTTGGTTTCGAATTTGAATTTATTTTTTGGTTATAATTAGTTTGTGTGTTTGTTAGAAAGAGAGAGAATATGCTGCAGAACAATCTGCTCGTGTTATTGATGCATACCGCACACTTAGCAAGCCGTTGGCTAGGGCAATATACATTGTAAGTGTTCGTTTAACAATAAGTGATGCGCGGTTATGCGGTTTCTGAAGTTCTATAAGCATTTGTAATCCTGTTATTTGTATTTACTTGAAGTGACTATATTGTATAGATAATATAATCAAGATGATTTAGAGTAAGTAGTATTTGTGGTCTTGAGTGTCTATGTTTTTAACTTTAATTGGTGGGTTGGTTGTGGTATAAATAGCATCTGGTTCATGAGCTGATTGAGTTGGATTATCAGTGTGATAGTGCTAAAAGAAAGTAGATTCTCTTCATGGTGCTTTCCTTCAAACTCTTTTCTTTTATATTGTCTTTATTATGCTTTTCTCTGCATTCGAATTCTTTGTGAACTGGAAATTTGCTGTTTTCATTAACAGTTGAGGCTTGAAGGAGTACATGTTGATGAGGAACAGACGGTTTCGGATCCAGAGTTGCTCACTGAGGTAATTGATACATCTGAAGGTCTATTCTTTCATTCTTAGATGTTTGGCTTTCCTTAGTGGTTTTTGTTCTAAAATAATATATATTTCTAAATTTCTATTTTATGCAGATTATGGAAATTAGGGAAGCTGTAGAAGAGGCCATGGATTCACAAGCTCTAAATCAGATCGAATCTCAGGTATGATAAGAGTTCTCAAGCTTCATGCCTGCATTGTTAGAATAAAGTTGTCACGTCATCATGAGAGGATTACAATGTTTCTCTCTTCTCTATCTATTACTTGGATCATTCATTTTCAAGCAGGTATGGCAGCAGTTACCTAAATGGCAACTATTCATAGCCTGTATGTTTGTAATGTTTGTAGACTGCTAGAGGAAGTGTGGAAGACGATGGCTAGTTTCAACAATCTTGAAAATTACTCATTGCATTATGTAGGTTTCCTGCATAGGACTGCTGCCTAAAACTGCCTCAACACATGCACCTGTTGCTTAAATTCTACAAGCTTTGGTGTTCTTTTCCAATTTGAGTGCTACTTACACATATCAAAATATTTAATCCAACCTTTGTATTGTTTTTTACTTCACAGAAAAAAAAACCCCTTGGTGGGTACTTCAATTCCCAAGTTGTCTATAAGTAAAGCTTGGTGTTTGGATGTTTGCTGTCCCAATTCAAGTGCTTCTTCAATGGAATTTATATACGATAACAGTTTTTGCCAAACTTGTGTATTCATTTTTTTGGTTTGGTGTTTTGCAGATGAAGGAGAAATTGGAAGGATCGTCCAGCTCCTTTGCAAATGCATACCGAAGCAGGAATTTTGATGAAGCTGTGACTTGTATCCAGAGAATGACGTACTACCAGCGTGCAAATGAAGAAATTTTGAAGAAGCTTTAACATAGGTGCTGGATATCTTTTTACAGTTTTAGTAATTCACTATACGCTGGGCTTTTTGTCTAGGTCAAAAGTTATGTTATTTCTACTTATTTTTATGGATATATATTTTTTAAAAAATTTGGTTGTAAGACAAAACATCTCTTTGATGTTTTGGACCTGATCTTTCCATACTAAACCACCAATTCTTTAGGTGATTATGAGATTGGCAACAACTGAGTTATCCCCTTGGTTATCAATCTGATATATGGTTGGAAATTATGGGTCTGATCTTAATTAGTAAAGCACATAGTCTTGGGTTAATTTGAGAATGCTTCTAAGTCTTTTTATATTAATTTCAGGCTCTTGCTGCTCTAGCAATGTTGCTATGGAGTTGACAACCTTAAAGCTCTAGGAGATGATAACTTAACAATGAGTGTGAGTCATTCTTTTTTTTAGTCGAGAACCTTGAATGTCGTAATCTGCTCCACCTCAGGTTCTGTCTTGTGTTTGTTAGTTGATATGCATCACTGTACTAGTTACAAAATATCACGTTGGCACACTTGGGCGTTAGCTACATGATCTCATTATGATTTAAGTTTACAGATTCAATTATTAATCCTTTGGCATCTATTATTTACTTGCCTGAAGAAGAATGCTTATGACCACATCTTGATTGCTAGTTTATTTTAATTCAGTGTCATAAGTTACCATTTAGAATCAGTTCTTAGACAAGCAAATTGCTGAATCCATCATCACTATGATAGTAGCCAATGGACAGTCATTCATAAGTTTTTGTCTCATTTTCAACAGTTCAGTTTGGTGATTGATCCTCTATGTTTAATGTTTGATGGACCTCTTGCATTTTTCAGGTAAAATTTGGTTGAAGACTCCTTGGTTCCATGGAAGTTAAACATGCATGAAGTGATCTAAAATATGAAGGCCAAAACGTTGGATTGGATGGTAAATTTGTTCTTTTCATGGTCATTTGTTGACAGCTGAACTTGCTGGGTACAGCCGTTGAATTCGATCAAGTGCTTGTTTCAATAAGTGGGAAATAGTTACTTGAATTGCTAAATTCATAATAATATGATAATAATTTATTTGCAAGGATAAAAGTTTTAGAGCTTGCGTTCACTTTTTAGAGCGGATTTTTGTTGTAATACAATTTGAGCTAAATCATGCCTACCTTGTCGATTTAGTCCAAAAAAAACTGTTCGGAAATTGACAGTGCTCGGAAGGATCCCTGAGTTTGGCATTTCGGATAAAAGCTGCATGGCTTCTTCGGATCTACCTATTCTACAAAGACAGCTAATGAACATTGAGTAAGTCTTAAAATCAGGCTTGGGTCCCTTCAGCCTTATATGATGGAAGACATTCCAAGCATCGACAACCTTTCCTATGTTCATGTAGCCACGAATCATTGCAGAATAAGTAACAATGGTTGGCTGACAACCTTCCTTCTTCATCTTCGCGAAAATCCCCAAAGCTCTTTCCATCTGCCTCTCCTTGAAGAAATGGACTATCAAGGATGTATAAACGTGGACAGTTGGGTATATGCCAGCCTGCGTCATGGAATCCACCTTAGCCAATGCTTGTTCGAATCGACCCTTTTGTAGTAATCCATGGACAAGGCTTCCATAAACATACAGATCCAATGAGGCTTGCTCCGTCCCAACGTTATCTAACATTTCTAAAGCTTCTTCCAGTCTCCCTGCTCGACAAAGTGCCCTAATATACAGGGAATAACTTAGTGGAACTGTGAATCCAACCTTGCTGAGAGAATCTGTGCAGCTTCTAGCTTCCAGGAGCTTGCCAACTTCACATAAACAGCCTAGATATGTTTCAAGTAACTCCTTGTCAGGCCTATGTCCAGCATGGATCATTTCCTGGAATATTTTAATTGTTTCGTCTACCTTCCTACCTTTTTTACCGCAAAGAGATATGATCAAATACTTGTAGGTACTTGCAGTTGGATTAAATCTCTCGGTTTTCATTTCAGCAAAAGTCCTCAAAGCAATTTCCGTCATACCTGTTCGACCATATTGCAGTATCATGATTGCCCATGTATTTGGTGTTGTTAGACAACCTCTCCTCTTCATTTCATAGAAGAGCCTTCTCATGTTCACGAAATCTTTCCCACATCCCGAGATTTTGATAGCCATGTTGTACGTTTCTGTGGTGTGCCAATAACCAACTTGCTTTCCAACCCATGAAAAGAAATTAAGTGCACTTCTACCATACAAAGTGCTCTTTCTCAATATTTCCACAACAAGCTCTGGTGTAAACTGAATGTTGCATCTCTCCAGAGCTTCTTCAGCGATGCACCACTCCTTTGAGGACGATAATATTCTACAAACTTCTTCCAAGTCCTGCACATTATAAGCCTTTGAAAGGGTTTGCACCAGGTGATAATCTGTCGTCCTCTCTGGCTCTGAAAGGTTATGCTCCAACTCCTTGAGGGGCTTCTGTCCCTTCAAGGCATTATTACTGAATACCTCACCCTTTTGTGATTGGGGTTTACACTTTCTTCGCATCTGCTTTACTTTTTCAACGTTGTCCATCTCTCCCTTTCTCTCCATGCAAGATATAACCCAATGAAATATCTCATCTCGAATGACTATCTTTGCCTCCTGCATTTTGCTCAAAACCCTAAAAATTTCATCTGTCCTTGCAATTTTACAAAGCTCCTTAATGAATATTGAATATGCTGTCCAAGTGGGTCTGATGCCTCTATCCTCCATACTCTTGAACATTTCCCATGCTTCAGATATATGCTTTTGGTGAACATGACCTGCAACCATGGCCATGATTGCAACACTATCAGGCTCAACCCCTTTCTCTAGCATCTCATTGTATAAGTCACAGCCTTTCTGATACTTATTCAATCTGAAGAGGTGTTGCATTAGTTCTGTATAAGCAGAAGCTGTTGGTAAGTACCCAGATTCCTGCATGCTTTTGAAAAGATCAAGTGCTTTAGAAAGATCTTTTCTTCTCAAGTACCCATTGATGATGATTTCATCAACCTTATGACTGGCCAGTTGCCTTCTCTTCATAATATCAACAATTTCCAAAGCATCACCAATCCTATCAGCCCTGCACAATCCTTTAACCAGAGTCTCAAAATACTGGTGGTCCAAAGACAAATCCTTTTTCTTAAGGTCACGAATCAGTTCTAAGGCTTCCCTTATTCTTCCAGATATACAGAAACTCTTGAGTACATAGCCATAAACTTCCTGTTCTGGAACCTGAGAGACCCTCATCATGTTATCAGCAACCAAGTGAACGGCAGCATTTTTTCCTGATTTCGCTAGACAATTAAGTAACATCTTGTACAAATTCAAGTCAAGGCTCATTTCCTTCTCAACCATCTCCTTGTAAAACTCAAATGCGATGTCACATTTTTCAGCATTGCAAAGTGCACGTATCATCATTCTGTAAGCTGCTGCATCAGGTTCACAACCACATCTCCTCATGTTCTCAAAGACTTCTAGCGCTTTGCCAATCAACTTTGACTTCCCATATTGCGAGATAAGAATTGTACAAGTCTTGATATCTTTCTTACAAGATTTCTCCTCCATTTCCTCCAGTAGCTGCTCAACCAGCCCATATTCTTTAGCCTCCCCAGCTATATACAAAATGGTATTGAAAGTCCCAGTTGTATGACGAAACCCTTCTCTAAGCTTCACCCAGCCGAAGAATCTAAAAGCTAAATGAGGCACTTTAAAGCACCTTTTCAACACTTTCTCAACAATATCTGGTTCAAACGAAAACCCTGATTTTTCTAACTGATCCTCCATGGCAACCAAGGCATTTTCACCTCTAACTATCTTAGTTATCTCATGAACCACCGGACTCACATCAAATTCAACTGAGTTTCCCATCTGGGTATCATCCAAAACCGTTATATTCTCCTCTTTTTCCACCAATTTACTCTTCTCCTGGGAATTTTGACAAACAGCTGACCTTCTAGACAATGATTCTTCCATAAACTGAAGCTCCCTACAGTTGGTTTTATTGGATATTGAAAACCCAGATGGGATGTCATCTGGGCTTAGGTTAACAGCTCCTAAAACCTCAGTTATTTCATGGAAAAGTGAGGGGATGCTACATGTTTCAGATTGGTTCTTCAAGTTGGTTTGTGGGGGCTTCTTTGTTTGTTGAGGTTTGGGGAGTGTTGAGAGATGAAGAGGCTTAAGTCTTGCGAAGTATAAGCGAGAAAGGTCAGTCCTTGCCTCCGTACGAAAGAGCTGGAATCTGATTACGTTCCTCATTTTGGAGCATGTCTCTCCTCCATTTTTTTGGAGCTTAAATCAAACTCATTTAGACTTCAAAAAAGCTGAGAACTTTACTTTGGGTCAGTTTCTTCTGACAAGTTGGACAGTCCATGAGTAGAAGCTTCTAAAGTTGCAACAGAAAAGAGTGGAAGTTTCTGAACGTTCATTTTTGTAATTTCAATGAATCATTTTTGGTTTGGGATAATTTTTTTAAATCTATACAATGCATATTCTACGCCTAACATAATTACTTCCAATTTAAAAACTTAATTAAATTGTCCGTTGTTCAAATCAAATAGAGCTAATATCAAAATTAAGATTGCAATATTGTAATTTATTATATTCTCTATTTAAAACTTGACGAAAGCACAAGCTCAAATAAATTACAAATTACTTTATTTATTCACATTTGCGATAGTGTAAAATAAAATCAATTAAAATTTAATAATTAATAACAAAATATCATTATATTATGCAAAATATGTTTTTAAATTTTTAGTTCATAACATTATCTATTCTCTGTTTAAAATTTTCTATCTCATATGATTTATTTTGATAGGTTATCTATTTCATATTTATGCAATATTTATACCATTACATAGGTAAAATGAAAATAAAATAAAATGTCTTTTTGATCGATATACAATTTTAATGAGAAAAAAAATGACAATTCTTATAAAGTAAAGATTTAATATTTAAAAAAGTCCAAAACAATTTAAAAAAATTTAAAAAGTTTTTATTTTTTTGAAATTTAATCAAGTTTTTATATTTTAATTTTAAATCAAATAAACTTTTCTAATTAAAAATTGATTAAGTGCCCTTGATCATAAGTTATTTATAATTTTTTAAGTCATGCATCAGGTAAAAAATAAAAATAGTACGTAGTCATATCATTATGTTATGTCATCATTAACGATGAAATGTTGATATATCACATTAACATTACGTGATATAAAATGACGAATAATATTTTAATTTATAATAATTAATTATAAAGATCTTAACTAAATGCAGTAGAAAAATAAGCAATAGATAAGTACAAATTTATTTCAAAATTTTAAAATAATTTGATTTTTTAAAAATACTACACTTAAAATAAAAGTTAAAAATGGAAAATCCATAGTTGGCCCAATGCTAATACTAGTAAACCGTCAATCGCTCGGGATGATATCCTTTGGGCTACATGCGGCCCACTATTTGGCCCAACAACGACCCATTTTCCGGGAACCTTAGCATGTTTCCAGTATAATACCGGGTGTCAAGTGACAGAGAAACGACTGCTCAAACAAGTCACAATCGCACAAGGCTAGAACCCCAAGGAAGAAGAATGGGTTGGGTGTGGAAAGACGAACCGAGCGACGCCTTGGAATCAACAGCTCGCGACGGCGATCGGTGCTCCACCAGGAAGGTGGTGCGGTCGCAGTGCAAGACGGAAGAAGTCGAGCCCGGAAAATTCGTCCGAAAGTGCGAGAAAACCGAAGAAGTTCTCAAAGAATGCGTCGGAAGGTAAATTCTAAATTCGAGAACAAACATCTAAACTAGTTAATTCTGATCATTAATTTGTAAAAGCCTTATCGGAATATAACTGAGTGAAAATCGTAATTCGCTGCAGAGTGTGTTGCTTTTAGTTAGGAAGGCTTGTATTCATTCGACTAAATGGTCGGCTTCGAAAGAATTGAATACTGTGAACTTGTTATGTAGAAATAATAGAACTGCAGATGTATTTAAAAGTCGAATTTTGATTCGTAATTTTGTTGGCGAGAGAAAGAGAAGGAATTATTTATATGTTATGGTTATGACATTTCTTTATTGGGTATGTTTTTCGTGAGATCAGCTATTGTTCTTTTGAAGTCGCGAAACTGTGTAAAATTTGTGCTTTCAGCCAGTTTTTTATATTAGCTGCTTTGCTTGTTTCATGGTTGGGGTTCCAAATTTTGAGTAAAGATTGTGAAAATGTTGAACAGCTTAATCAGAACTGGCTAACTTTTATCTAACAAATGCAAACATGAATTATCCAATGATTTTCTTTGGTAGACTATTACTGCTTTTGCTCTCATTTGAGATTTTTCATCCAGGGAAGAGACGAAAAAAGCAGGCAGCAGTAGAAAAGGATGAATTTAGGAAGTGTACAACATGTCGATAAGATGTAAAGGAAAGATAAAGATGGTTGGACTATCATGTTTAGTAACAATTATTAGGTGGAGGGAGGGAGGGGCGTGCAGAGGATATGTTGAGATATTGTTATGTCAAGCTACCCGAGGTGGTTTTAGTTCGGTAGAAAATGGAATAAAATTGAAAATAATGCAATTGATACATGCATAAATGTGTGTATCCACCGAACTGTTGATGCTTCAAGATAATGGACTGCAAATATCTGATTCTTTTATCTTTTCATTTAACTTATCATATTATGATCATAGATGCTAGTATTCATGTATGCACTATGTTTTTTACTTTCCAGTCTCATTCTTGTAAAATTTGTTTAGTTTAGGCAAAGATTTGACAAGAGGTCAGTAGTCTAAACGAATGATAACAATTTATTATTCTTGGTAGAGACTGCTGCTAAACTTTGGTAGAAATGGCTAATGTCCTGTTTTTTTTTTTATTTTTTTTCTGTACAAATGGTTAATATCCTGTAGAGATGGTCTATTCTGTCATCTAAGTCTGGAATTGGATACAGTAAGTCATAATGTTCACTGCACCTTTTTCATTTCCACTTTAGCTTGATCACTATATGTGATTTATCACTACTTGTTTCTGTATGTTTAAATTAGGCCTGTTGAGGTGCTGCAATCCAACAAAGAGTACACTGAGGATGATGTCACAGAGCAAGTGCTAAGAGGGAATTTCCTGTCGGGATCACAACATGTGGAAGGTTCATTTGATTTTCCTGGTCTACGTAGTGACATGGAGGAAATTGAACGTCGCTTTTTTGGTGGGTTTAACCGTTTCTTTGATGCTGCTGAGGAGGTGAAAAATAGTTTCCTCGATGCCTTTGGAGATTTTTATGGCAGGGGATCTTCAGGGCCACCATCTATAAGGAGAGGAATACCCATTGAAAGCCATCCTCAGAAGGAAGCCTCTTCTAAACCTGCTGATTCTGGGCATCTTGATTTGTCTGGTTTAGCCAAAGATGTTTGAAGTTTGTCAAGGAGCCAGCCTCCGTTTTTTATATTTTAGAATGTAATGTAGAGAATCTTATACCTATCAGAATGGAATGTTAGCTTTTTAGTACCTGGTGACAAGTATTTCTGTTCCTGGGACTTACTGCCCATTTCTTACTTGGTGCATTTTAGATTAATGGTAAGTTTTTTTGGTGTTAAACAACAATGGATTCATCTCCAGGCTCTGAAATCAGAAGATTTTATTATGTTTTTGTTTAGCTTATCCTTGCAGTTTTCTATTGTTCCAAAACCTAAAATGGCTTCTGGGTTTTGCTGTTACCATGTGTTGTATGCGATTGGTTGAGGGGATTGTTGAAATTGCAGTGTATGATGGCAATCAGATGTTTTGGAACAGACCATATTGGTGTTGTAGTTATAATGTAAGTGAAAACAGAGAATGAAACAAAATTCTCTGATATCACTATTGGAATTACCAGGTGTTAATTATATACAAGAAAATCTATCTAAATTAGGCCTTGGAATATGGTAAATTACCAGAAATTAGGGAACAGGAAGTCAGGAAATAATCCAGCAAAAGAAGGAAAATAGAGAAAGGAAATAATATCCTCAAATTAACTCTTACAAATCCGGAATATAGTTAATAAAATATAAATTGATGAGCTGTCAACACTCCCCCTCAAGTTGGTGAATAGATATCGGTCATTCGCAGCTTATCTACTAGCACTTCAAAACTCAGTCTAGGCAGCTCTTTTGTTAGAAACATCAATTATTTGTTGTTGGGTAGGCACATAGGTCATGCAAATTACCCATAGTATATTTTTTTCTTTGATAAAAAGTTGATCTATCTCCACATGCTTTGTTTAGACATGATGAACCGGATTATGTGCAATACTTATTACGGCTTTATTATCACAATATAGCTTCATAGGTCTCATACTATACACTTTCAGTTCTTCCATTAGCCTCTTTAACCAAATCAGCTCACAGGTTCCTTGTGCAAGGGCTCAAAATTCTGCTTCTGCACTACTGCGAGCTACAACTGGTTGCTTCTTGCTTCTCCAAGTAACCAGGTTTCCCCAACCCTTTGTACAATAACCAGATGTAGACCTCTCATTTGCAACTGAACTTGCCCAATCTGCATCAGTAAATGCCTCCACACTTCTTAGCTCATTTTTCTTGAAGAACAAGCCTTTAACAAGTGTAGATTTTAGATACCGCAAGATTCAGTTGACTACCTCAAGATGTTCTTCACTCGGAGAATGCATATACTGGTTCACTACACTTACAGCAAATGCAATATCTAGTCTTGTGTGAGATAAGTAAATCAATCTTCCCACTAGACGTTGATATCTCCCCCTATTTACTGGAATTCCACTCCTTGTTCTTCCAAGCTTCGTGTTCATAACTATGGGTGTTTCAGCTGGCTTGCAACCAAGCATCCATGTGTCTTTCAAAAGATCTAATGCATATTTCCTTTGAGAGATAATAATACACTTTTTGCTTCTTGCCACTTCCATCCCTCATAATATCTTAGTTGCCCAAGGTCTTTGATTTCAAATTCACTCTTAAGAGTTTTCTTTCCATCTTGTGAATGCTTGAAAAAAAAAGGTATGATCAGTTTGTCCCTGTTAGTAACCATACCTCTTTATAGTCTTTATAGTCTTTGTATATTCGTGAATGAACACGAAGGTCTGATTGTTGTTGACTAAGCCTATTTGGATTTTCCCCTGTTTCCAAGCCAAAATTTGTTGATGCCATAATTAGAGGATTTTTATTTCCTAGTGGTGTTTCAAGTATGTCAACAACTACAAGAAGAGGGAAAATACAACCCCAAAGATTTTCTTCTCTTAATATTTCCCCTTGAAGAGTAGGATTTGGGTAGAAAGGTTGATTTTCAAGGAAAGAGACATCTAAGAAAACAAACATTTTTTTTTTATGGTTGGACAGTAGTAATTGTACACCCTTTTTTTATTAGGAGAATATCCAACAAAGATACATTTTATAGCTTTAGGATCTAATATTTCACGAGTAAGACTGGTATTATGTACAAAGGAAGTGCATCTAAAGACTTTTGGCGACAAAGAGGTGAACAATCGAGTTTGAGGGTAGGTTTCTAGTAAAATACTCAAAGAAGTTTTAAATCGGAGGACTGGGGATAGAAGTTTGTTTATCAAGTAGGATGCAGTTAGGACTACCTCACCAAAACTGTTTAGGAACATAAGTGCACATGTAGTCTCTAACAGATGGCGATTTTTACGTTTAGCAGTACCATTTTGTTGTGGGCTTTTGATACAAGAACTTTGGTGAAAAATTCCATTTTTTGTAAAGTAATTTCCAAGAATTGAATTGAAATATTTTCGACCCTTATCTGTTCAAGGAATTTGAATTGATATATCAAATTGGTTTTGGATCATTTTTTTGGAATTGTTGGAAAATGATGGTTGCATCTGATTTTTCTTTGAGAAGATAAACCTACATGCTCTTGAATGGTCAGCAATAAAGGTTATGAACCATTTGATTCCCGAAATATTATTTATCCTCGAATGATTCCAAATATCACAATGGATCAATGAAAAAGATTTAGATGACTTTGACTTGTATGGTTGATTTGGATAACAAGTACGGGTATGTTTGGCAAATATAAAAGTTTCACAATGAAAAGAATTGATGTCTTTATTCTTGAACAGAGAAGGAAACAAGTTTTTCAGATATGGAAAATTAAGATGACCTAACCTATTATGCCGTAACATAATCTTACTGGAAGCAGGAGTCAATTCACCACATAGTTAGCCAGTGATTGTTTATTCACTTGTACATTATCCTCAAGGTAGACCAGCTCGTCACTCATTTTAGCATTGTAAATTTGAGACATGAAATACAGATTTAGTTGTCATATTAGCAAAATTTACATATCCTTTTCCAACAACAGATGATAAAGCACCATTAACAACACTAATTTTGAAATTTCTCGGGCATGGGACATAGGTAGAAAAAGAACTATAGCATCTAGTCATATGATCCGAAGCTCCTGAAGCCATAATCTAAGGGCCATTAGATTCAGAATTTGCACTCAAGGTAGAGGGGTAATTACCTTTAAGCTGTCTTTAGGACAATTTCAATTTGTTTCGTAAAACATATCCATCTCTTGCCATAACTTAGTAAACGTATTGAAATACTTGGTCATTGAAACATTCCCTTATTTTGTGTTTCTTAGGGCAGATCTAACCTTAAAACATTATATTAAGTTTTTCAGATTTGAGTACATTTCATGCGCCATGTCCCATATCTCCTTTGTTATCTTATAAAATAAAATAAGTCTGACCTATCTTAGATTCCATGGAATTCACTGACTAAATGATCTGCTGCTCTTTCCTTTGGTGTTGTCTTTGTACCCGTTACGTAGCTGAGTTTTCCTTTGCCTTGTATTACTAACATAATCAACTGAGATCATTCAAGGAAATTGGCTCCATTGAGTTTGTGTTGGGTTATTTGGAGAGAATGAGTTTCCCCGACAGTAGGAATCACAGATGAATACATATTTCTACAAGGTTTAGAGCTACATCTACCTTGGTTGCTATGGCCAATAATAATGGTTAAAGGAGCAGAGGCTTTGATACCATGAAAACAGAGAATGAAACAAAATTCTTTTATATCACTATTGGAATTAAGAAAACCTATCTAAATTAGGTCTCGAAATATGGTTAATTACCATAAATTAGGGAACAAGAAATCAAGAAATAATCTAGTGAAACGAGAAAAATAAAGAAAGAAAATAATATCCCTAAACTAACTTCAACAAATCTGGAACATAGTCAAAAAATAAATTAATCAGCTGTCAACAGTAAGCTTTTACAATGGCAGCTTGTTGAAAAAGTGAAGTGGCAAATGACTTGTAGAGTTAGTATTATGATATATATTCTTCCAAAGAAAAAAGAATATTTCAAATGTCTAGCTAATTAGGCTTTTAAAAATCTGTCAGTTGGATGCTTATATGTATGTATGTCCATCTCTTTTACTTAAGACTTTTTGCCAACTCAAAATAATATTCAGACTCTTGATGCATTAACTTAAACAATCAAAGATATGCCCCAAGTTAGTTTTATTTTTATTTATTAGATAAATGAATTATTATTTTCACATATATTATATTTTATTAAATATTTTATTTATTTATAACTTATATGAAACGATCATAAATTATTTAGTTACATTTACAAAAATTATGCTAATAGTTGATGAATTATTAAGCGGAGGGTTATAGTTCAAAGTTTTATTTGCCAAAATTGCTCTAGGCTAAATGTGACAAAATATTTAAAGCCTACATTTGTTACGTCTCTATCAAATTAATGAGTGTAGTGTGTGAAATATATGTATTAAACATGATCTAATTAAAGAGCACCAAATAAGCTTGTCATTGTTAATAATTAAAATACGCTTTATTATGATTTATTAATTATCCTCATACTTGATAGATCAATGTATTTTATTTACTATTCATTTGGCTTTAATATTGCCAATAAATGGTGTTGAATATAAAGGTTATATTATAGTATGTTGGATTATGTACACGCCAAATAATATCATTCTTTATTGAAAAATATATTTAAGCGATTTTCATAAGACTGTTGAATTAAATAAATCCAATGGGTGTGTTTTTTAAAAAGTGTTTTTTTAAAGGTATTTTAAAAAGTGTTTTAAAATTATTATATATAACTGTTTTTGTACAAAAGAATGAAATCATGAATTGGTATTACATAGGTTGGATGTGTTAGAAATTATTTATCTTTTTTTTTTAAAAAAAAACAATTCATAATTTCCACTTCAAGATAGGGATATGAAAATTCATCTCCTCAAGAATAGCAACAACACAAATCAGAGCCAAAAACCAAAAGATATTAGTTCATATACTCCTATTTAATGAATATATTTCCCCAATATCTTTAAATTTGCAAAATGTATTCAACCTAAAATCAAATATCTATCAACAAAGCTGAATCAAAATAACAAAACTTAGAGAGACAAAAGCAACAGACAGATATTTCTGCACAAACAAAAATCATAGGGAGCCAAAGCCAAGGACCCGTCAACCATATACAAGAAAAACCACCCATATCACAAGCTCAAACATTCACAAACCCAAAGACCTAAAGAAAATTAAAAAAGATATATCTGTACCCACCAATCACAAATAAAACCTTTTTTATACCAAAATTAGGACTTCAGCAAAAGGTGCACTAAGTGAACTCCCCATAAAAAG